TCCTCTAGTTCTTCAGCAGTGGCCAATCAATGGCTAATTGTACACTTATATAGTAAATCTATTACGTAGGTGGAGCTCAAAGCAAATTGAACTATTGTAGCACACTTACTCCTAAATTGTACTGCACTTCTTTGTCAATTCTAGAACACCAGATACAGAAATCTAGCACACTTGTTTGAGAGTTCTGGTGCATTTATTTGAGAATTATAACACATTTGAGAATTCTAGTACACTTGTTTGACAATTCAGCTGCATTTTTCTGAAAATTCTAGCAAAATTGTTTAAGGATTCTAAAATATAAAAAAACACACTTGTCTGACAATTTTAGTGCTATTGTTTGAGAATTCTAAAATATCAGAGAATTCTAACAAACTTGTTTAAGAATGATGGCACATTTGTTTGAAAATTCTAGCACACTAAAATTGTAGTGCACTTTTTAAGAATTCTAGAATATTTCTTATGGAATTATTGCACACTTGTTATAGATACTAGTGCAAGCTTGTTTGAGAATTAAAGACATTTGCTTGAAATGTCCAGCAAACTTGGGCTAAAACTGTAGTACACTTGGCACAGAATTCTAGCACACTTGTTGGAGAGTTCTAGTGCATTCACTTGATCTTTCTAGCACACTAGTTTGAGAGTTTGAGAATTGTAGCACACTTGCTTGAGAATTCTAGCACTGTTGTTTGAGACTTATAACATTTTTGAGAATTCTTGAACACTTGCTTGAGAACTCTAGAACTCTTGTTCGAGAATTCTCGCATACTTGTTTGACAATTCAGCTGCATTTTTCTAAGAATTCTAGTGCACTTTTTGAGAATTCTACAGTATTTCTTATGGAATGCACACTTGTTATAGAATTCTAGAGCACTTGTTAAAACATTCTTACATGTTAGAACATTCTAGTGGGCTTGTTTAAAAATTGAGGACATTTGCTTGAGATTGTCAGCAGACTTGTACTAAAATTGTAGTGCACTTGTTACAGAATTGTATCACACTTGTTTGAGAATTCTAGCTCACGGTGTCCAGCTGCAGTTCCAGGTTTTATAAAGCTGTTTTGATTAAAGGACTTCAGTGATGCTGAGGATCAGACCTGACTGAGCAGGCCGTGATGTGTGTGTGTAGTGAGGACTGGATGATCTTAATAAGGGAAAGACATGTGGCTTCTGTTCACAGCAATTACTCTGATGGGACAGAACGCATTCTCATCTTTTCATCTTTCTGAAAAGAGTCTGACCGGCTTTGGTAATGAGAGTGGACTTCCTCCTCATTAGGAAATCCCTGCTGTCTGCGCAGGGCAACAGTCGAGCTGCTAATTGGTTCACTTTATAAACCCAATATTGATTCGGGTCAAGTCTGGCCTAAGTAGAGAATTACTGTAAAACACACTCATAGCAGTGGAGGCGTTTATGTGAGATTGTTCCAAATATGCTTAAAGCTGCAGTAGGTAAGATTGAGAAGAGAGTGGACTTTAAATGAGTATAACTTCCAGGTACCCCCCTCCCCCTGCCCCCACACCTCCACTGTGCTAAAGCCTCTTAGGCTTTAAAGGAATTTACTGTTTTGTTTTTTTTTTGTAATCTATCTGATGCATCTACAGGGTGCATTTAGTTACCACAAGTAATGATGTCATGTTGAAAAATAGGGAAATTTTCAAAAAATGTGGCTCATTGATAAACTTTGTCCATGAATTCTGATTTCCTCAAATGTCATGCGGCACAACCGGCAAAGGACTTTTATTCTGATATGCTTTTAAGAAAGAGTAGGCAGGGAAGTGCATCATAAAGAAGACCTCAAATGACCTTTGTGGTACACGGCTAAGGACAGCAACCTTTTCACAAATATAGAGATAATTGTTATTTTAATAAATTCATGCAAATGTGCTATTATTATATTTTTTATTTACTTGAAAAAAAAAAATCTTGGGTTCAATGGCAAAAGTTTATATGAATGTCCAAGTACAAAGACTAGTTTTTATATGTTATAATATTTTGTTTATTAATATAATGTGTAGTCAATACAAGGCCAGAGATGGTGCATGGGGAGGGGAGCTGCCCACACCGTGTGCACAAGCAGATCACACTTGGTCAAACACTCCTACTGGCTCTCTTTGGTTGTTTTGATTTGTTGATTAGATAAATTCTGGTTTCCTCAAATGTTATGCAGCACAACCGACAAACAAAGGACTTTTATTCTGGCATACTTTTAACAAAGAGTAGGCAGGGAAGTGCATCATAAGGAAGACCCCAAATGATCTTTATGGTGCATGGCTAAGCACAGTAGCCTTTTCACAAATTTAGAAAAATTGTAATGTTGAGTTAGTTAGTCAGGTGGGGCGACCCTAGGAAATCCATGAAAATGTCCTATTTATTTATTTATTTATTTATGTATGTATGTATGTATGTATGTATGTATGTATGTATGGGTTGGGTTCAAAGGCGATGGTTTATACGTGTGTCCAAGTACAAAGACGTTTATACATGTTCTAATATTTTGTATATTAATATAATGTGTGGTCACACCACATGACATTTTCTGGGTGTTAAAATTGCTTAAAAATGAAATTACACTGTAATATAAGCCATGAAACAACTATCACCACATCGTATAGAAGATACAAAAGTGCATATCAAATCCTTTTTATAAAGATTTTTTACATTATCATTTTGAAAGCTTTTTAATTGACCCTAATGCTCAAATATGATATTTTAGTGTATTTTAGAAACACTCAGAGACAATGTGTGCGAAAGTGCCGATGCGAAATGTTTCAAAATTTGAATAAATGAGTTTTGGTCTGTGTAGTTTGGCATATTTTAGAACCCAAACCCACACCCTCCAGTGAAAGGAACCCAAGCAGCTATCTCTGCTGGGACAATGGCTGAGGGGAAAGGGGCTCCACCAAAGAGATTTACTACATAACAAGATGAACATTTACAAAACTTAAGATGCTAAGTCTGTTATTCAGTACTAGTATTGACTTTACCTCCCTTAACATGTAGAGAACTCTTCCCTGACACCTTCAGAAGTGACTGTCTGTTCAAGCACAACTTCTAAACCACACATTGATATTTTCCGCCTCAGCTCTGCCAAGCTTGCAGTAATTCCAGCTTAGTTCGGTTTCCGTGGCCCTGTTCTTTTATCCTGCAGGAGTTATTGCTGTGTTGTGGATCTAATAACGCAGCTCATAGCTTCCCACTAACATCAGCAATTCATTTTCGCACCAGCATGAGTTTCCCTGACAGGACTGGGTCAGACTTTCACATACTGCTCAGATTTGCTACAACAGAAAAGTCAACATGACCTACATGGTGAAAAGCACAGGCTTTTTTTGAAGATCATATCAAATTCGCACTTTTTTGATTACAAGAAAACTAGAGCTTTTTAAAAAAATCTTAGAAAAGGGCTGGTTTGTTTGTGAAAAGCTGTAGTACCTCTTCTTCACCGCTTGGGGTCGCAGTTTCACACGTAAATGAGATGGTCGCTGTTCATGGTTCTGAAACATTTTACATACATTACAGTGAAAAAGACATGTTTACTACATTTGTTTGGTATCTGGGAAGCTGTAACTGTACTTTTTAGCAATTAAGTTAATAAACTTTAGATTTTACCCTCTGTTGACTACCAGGAACGCGTAGGTCCACACTACGTCCAGCCAAAAGCAGCTGTTTCTCAGCTTGACCCACCTGTATTCCGACAAACTCCGCCTCGGTCGCTAAGACTGTCTAGTAGCATCTTATTTGGGTTACTGTATACTGTTAAAAAAGATGGTTCTTCAAGGGTTCTTCAGTTAAGGGAATGGTTCTACTTGGAGCCGTGAGCTCTGTATAGAACTTTTTCTTGCTTAAATGGTGAAATGGTTCCTCAGATTGATGGTTCTGTACAGAAGCTCTTTGAAAATAGTTCTATATAACATCAAAAGGTGTTCTTTAAATGTTAAAAGAACCATTTTTTTGGTGCTATGTAGAAGCATTTTCAAAAAGGTCCTATATCGTAGCATCTTATTTGGGTTCCGGTACACTCTTAAAAAGATGGTACTTCAAGTGTTCTTCAGTAAAGAGACTGGTTCTATTTGGAGCTGTCAGCTCTATAAAGAACCATTTCTTGCTGAAATGGTGAAATGGTTCTTCAGATTGATGGTGAATGTGTATAGTTCTATTTAGAAGCTTGTTGAAAATGGTTCTACATTGCATCCAAAAGGGTTCTACTAATGTTACAAGCTCAATGTCACAACAATAGAAGAACCATTTTTCGGAGCTATGTAGAACCTTTTTCTAAAAGGCCCTATATGGTAGCATCCTTTTTGGGTTACTGTACACTCTTAAAAAGATGGTTCTTTAAGGGTTCTTCAGTAAGGGGACTGGCTCTATTGGAGCTGTGAGCTCTATATAGAACCATTTCAACCTTTTCAAAAGGGTTCTACTAATGTTACAAGCTGAACATCATAACAGTAGAAGAACCATTTTTCGGTGCTATGTAGAACCATTTCCACAAAGGTCCTACACTATTAACATTCTCCATGAATCTAAAGAACGATTTCACCATGCAAAGAACCATTAAGCCATGAAATGTCTTTATGTAGAACCCATACCATTCTCTTTATTAAAGAACCCCTGAAGAACCATCTTTTTTAAGAGCATAGCGCTACTATATCCATGTTCTGTGGCAAAAAGAGAAATTTCTGGAAAATGCTGGAAAACTATAAGGAATTCAACAGCCATCCTCCAGGGAATAAAGCACCACAGACCGATGAAGGAATTCTTCCAAGCTCGTGCGCAGGTGATTTCAATGGGCGTCTGATGAAGTGGCTCCTGAAGAGCGACCACGGGAATCTTCTTTATTGCGCTGAGGAACCAAAGGGCGCTCGTGAGCACGAACTAGCGGCCAATCCCAGCGCGGGACGCGGGACACTACCAGCCAATCCCAGCGCAGGATGGGCGTGATTTGTGTGCATCTGAGCCGGAGGTTCGGCGATGGATTCGTAGTGAACGGGATCACCATCGAGCATCTTTGGAGCGAAGTTGCGCGCGGAGTTCTGCACGCGGCTTGGGTGGAAGCAAAGAAATTGTCCAGGCGATGCGTGCAAAGTCCAGCTCTCTGTGAGGAAAGAGAGGAAAAGGGGGGAAAGAAAAGGGGGAAGAAAGCATCGCAAACGTGCAACTTGCTGGATATGCGTTGAGTGATCGGTCGGTTGTGCCATGCACTGAGGAGCGCGAGGCAGCAGCAGCAGCAGCAGCATGTCCGCTGGGTTTTGTCGCTGTTTTTGGTGAACACAGACGGAAGGAATAATGGTCAGAAGATGCCTGCTGACGTTCAAACCGTTCAGGTGAGCAAGGGAAGCATGAGAGGGTGATAAAGAGCAGTGATTAATGGCATACAAGCAACCGATTCTCTGACTGGGGCAAGTTTATAGCCTTGCAATTCAGATACAGTGCAATAGAGAGTATGTAGGTGATGGTTATGGTAGTACAGTGTAAGTCAATACAGAGGGCAGAGTATTGCATAGTACAGTTCAATGCAATATAGACTAAACAGTGCAAACTACAATGAAATATAATAGAGTATTAATTGCATAATGCAATGCAGTGTATTACAGAGTATGCAATGAATAATACATTGCAATATTATGCAATGCATAATAGAATGAAATAAAATGCAAAGTGTGGAAATCCTAATAGAATAAAAAGTATGCGATGTACAGTATAGTGCAACTACAAACTACAATGCAATATACTTCAGAACATGCAATATAGAGTGTGCAAAGCATGTTACAGTGTGATGCAAAGTATGCAGTGCACAATACTGTGCAATACAGAGTCTAAAATGCCTTATAGAATGCAATGCAATGCATAGTACAATACAGTGCAATGCAATATACAGCATTCATGATACTGGATGCTGCCGATCGTAGTATTTCCTATAATGATGGGAAATCCTTTGGACACACTTCTGCCAGTAAAAGTAAGCTTGTTCGTGTGTGGCCAGTGCATATTCCTGAAGGCTGTGTTTCCTTGGCTGTGGGTTTTGGTAATGAGCTCATTCCCCTGTCACACACACACACACACACTGTCAGACCATGCAGACCACAACACATGTCTGTCCCGTGAGTGGCGCTGCACGGTCTGCTGATCTTGCCTTCTGCGAGACACACTGAGACTAGAAACCGGGAGCACTGGATCTATGACTCAATCTCTCGTACGCACTCGCATTGTCATGGACTACTATGAAAGTCTACTCGGAATGATAGTGGCAAAAACTGCAGGGCCACATCCCAAATCTCTCTGCCATAGAGGTGCATGCAAGTGTTTGAATTTTAGGGAACAATTTCTATAATTTTGTTAAATATATATAATATAAGATATGGCATAACTTTTGCTCAGACCACCATAGTTTACATTTTATTTTTCCCCAATATGTTAAATTCTGTAAATAAACAGTAATGGTGCATTAAACTGTGCCATTTGACCAGACGAATTCATTCGGCTGTATGACTCTACTCTAAAAAGTTCACCAAAATAGTTACCCAGGGTGCTCGCTGTCCAAAACTGAAGTGCTGAAATAATTCACTTCTAGTCTTACAAGGAAGTTCACCAGACATGAATGGTATTGGTGAGTTCTATTGGTGAATAGAAAGCAACATACAGCTGTATATAAATATTAGACCTTGTAGTTAATCATCATAACTCCATATAAATTCCAGCTGTATTATCAAATCTACATTCCAATCTATATCGGCTTTAGTTCTACTCTAAACAGTTCACCAAAATAGTACACAAGAAAGATTAATGTTTGAAAAAGTATGATTTATCAGCTTTGCACTTGAGTCTACACTCACCAAGCACTTTATTAGGAACTCTCCTTACACTCTTTGTCCATTTTATCAGCTCCACTTACCATATAGGAGCACTTTGTAGTTTCACAATTACAGACTGTAGTCCATCTGTTCCTCTGCACACTTTGTTACCCTGTTCTTCAATGGTCAGGATCCCACAGGACCCCCACAGGGCAGGAGTTACTTGGGTGGTGTGAGTGGATCAGACACAGCAGTGCTGCTGCAATTTTTTAACAACCTCAGTATCACTGCTGGACTGAGAAAGGTCTACCAAGAAAAATATCCAGCCAACAGAGCCCTGTGGGCAGCATCCTGTGACCACTGATGAAGGACTAGAGGATGACCAACACAAACTGTGCAGCAGCAGATGAGCTATCGTCTCTGACTTTACATCTACAAGGTGAACCAACAGGGCAGGAGTGTCTAATAGAGTGGACAGTGAGTGGACACAGTGTTTAAAAACTCCAGCAGCACTGCTGTGTCTGATCCACTCGTCAGTGTCACTGCAGTGCTGAGAATGATCCACCACCCAAATAATCCCTACTCTGTGGCGGTCCTATGGGAGTCCTGACCACTGAAGAACAGGGTAACAAAGTATGCAGAGAAACAGATGGAAAACATTCTGTAATTGTAGAACTACAAAGTGCTTCTATATGGAAATAAGTGGAGCTGATAAAATGGACAATGAGTGTAGAAGCAAGGAGTTGCCAAAATAATACTTGAAGTAAGCAATGCCTAATTTAAAAGTCTGATCCATTTTTTGTCAGGAGGCTCCAGTCAGCTGGCAGTATCATCTTAAAGCCTTATAAATGTGTTCATGTTCTTGTGAGATAATTTGGCAAGACATTTCCTCCCAGTAAAGCAAGTCTGTTCCTTGCCTTGGTATTTAAAAGCACTCTAGATCCCCTCTGTGTTCTTGCTCTGTCCCACCTCAACAAACACCCTAACTAAGCCGTCAGAAACATTGAATTGCTGGCTGAGGAGTTCTGGGAGCTTGGATGGACCATCCTTCTGATGATTGCGTTGGAAAGCAATGCAAATCACACTCACAGTGAAGCCCCCAGTGATGAATTAATACACTAAAGTCTTCATTAAGTCTAGGTGAACTCAGGTGTAAACTGAATGCTGAAGATTTTGCTCTGCCACTTTGAACTCACTGAATAATAATCAATCCTTGTAGGAGGAACATCCAGTGCGCTCTTTTTATCAACTGCTGTTTAATGCCCACCCCACACTGTCTGAAAAAGGAGCACTGTACCAGCACATTTTTTAAACATTAGGTGGACAGTACGATGTGTTATTGTCAATGTGATAATTTTTGTCATTGTGATACACACAATGCTTTCCTGAGTGTATTGTGGATATTTCAGTATTTAACAATACTCAAACGTTATAAACGTACCTTCAAAGGTACAACAACAACCTTAACTTTCAATTGTGTACATTAAATGCATTCAGTCTCCTAGTGGGGAGATACACATTTGTACATTTTCATAACTTTTAATTTAACATGCAGTCAAAATCCAAACGTACCCGCAGGAGGTTGTGAGTTTGATGCCCATCGTGGAGTCCAAGACATGAAAATTGTTCTCACTCTGTCTGGGTGGGTGGGTGGTCCTCCCTCTTCCCCCATCATGCAGCATCATGCTAGCCAACATGGGCATCTGTTAGCTGATGTAACAAAATTAGCAGTGTTCTCCTCCAAGCGTGTTGAACTGTCCAATGATGTGGCACTTTGAAAAGATGTGGTGGAGATTCATTCATTTTGCCATCATCCTCCCAGCTTGGTATCATCTTGTGATTAGAGGGAGATTTAGCTACAAGGTGGAATGTGACCAAATTAGTGGATAAAATTGGCAAAATAAAACTAGAATTGTACAGTTTCATTCTCTAACTAAAGATGCAGATGACATTTAAGGTCTTTGTCACCCCCAGTGACAAGCGAAAGACCCTGAATAAAATGGTTTAGTACCTTTTCTTTACTTTTTAACTGCATACATTTTCTGTAGAGTTGCAAGGCATGGCCAATACAAGATTTTGCAAAGAAACAGAGCGAAACAGAGGGCTTATATACTCAAAATGACAGCTGATTAGAGAAAGTGAGAACAGAAAGTCTAAAATTCCGGTGAGAGTGACCTCTGTAGGCTGCAGCAGATGTGATAGATATACAATAATTCACTTCCATATGGAACAAGAAAGTCAAAGAAAAATAAGAGAAAAAAAAACAAAAAAAAACAAGAGTTCCCAAAACTGGTGATCAAAACATGATTAAAAGCTGAAGAGAAAATGGGGCTCAAAACAATCACCTGGAAGACCTGGTAGACACCAAAACTGTCGCCATCAGATCAACATTCCATTCCTCCATTCTTGCCACTTGAAAAGCTCCACAGGTGTTTCTGTCCATCCTTCCACTGTGTTAATTTGGTTGGAAATAAAATAAATGAAAGGTGGTCTCTGACTGTCACCGTACTCTATATAAATGGGAACTTATAGTCTGTGTAGCCAAAAATGCCCAGGCAGCCCTTTTAATGAGTAAAAAAGTTACTTTCAGGTTCCCAATGCCAATTATCAGCTATTGGGGTATAAAGCCCCCCCAAGAATTGGGCTGTGGAGCAGTGGAGTGATGGAGCTCCATTCAGTACCTTCAGGATGAGCTGGAGTGATCCAGAACTTATCATCCAACATCAGTACCTGACCTCACTAATGCTCTTGTGGCTACGTTCTCTGTCGGGTGTTGCGTAATGACTACATGTAGCATATAAACAGTAAAGCCAAACATTACATTAATGTAAAATAACACACACACAAACGTAATCTCCACAGAATTGAATTGAATATTGTATAATAGTCTTTGTTATGCAGAACTCTAAGAGGCAACATTTACATTCTGAATCAAATGATGAACGACTTCTTCATCCGTTATTCAGGTCTGCGGCCTCAGGTGAAAGTGTGCAGGCAAAAGTTCTTGGAAATCCTCCCAAAGTCGCCTTCTCCCTCCTAACCATCACCAACACACAGAGGATCTGATACCCACTTGCCCAGAAAACCAATTAGGAGATAACAGATCTTTGCTCTGAGCCAAGCAGAAGACCAAAGCGTTTACTTTAAATCCATTAATTAGAGAGGATATAATCTCCTCACACGCCTAAGCTAAGCCTTTGAATGCATCTAAATGGTAAAGAGAGGAAGGATAGACTGACGCTCTGATATGCTCTCCAAACTTCTCTGTGTAAGCTGAGAGGAACTGGTTTATTAATTTGACCTTTGATCTATGGCTCAGCTGTGCACTCTACCCTTTAAATCAAAAGTTTGGTGAAAAATCTACTTCCTAATTCTAGGAATGTTTGGTTTGCTCCTCTAATTTTGCACTGAGGCTACAAGGCTAATGTACCTAACAAGTAATGGATGCTTATAGCCTTCCAAATGCCTAAATTGTTATTTTTATATATCATATATGCTCTATATTATAACTATTATGTGGTTTCTGACACTGTATAACCTACTGTTATCTATAAATATGGACAAATGAAGTTATTTTTCAGGACATTTACTGAGGAGATCAGATATGAAAAGGAAAATAAGAGAAAATAGCAAGAGTTCCCAAAACTGGAGACCAAAAAATTATTAATAGCTACAGAGACTGGGAATGGGACTCCCAACAGCCACCTGAAAGACCCAGTAGACACCAATATATGCATGCATACACACACACACACACACACACACACACACACACACACACACACACACACACAAGCTTTCATCTTTGAGAGAGAGGACATCCAATCAAATCAAACTCCACTCTTGCTTCTAGAAAAGTTCCACAGGTGTTTTTGTCCATCCTTCCACTGTGTTAATTTGATTGGAAGCAAAATAAATGAAATGGTGGTCTCTGACTGCCACACAGTTCTCTATATAGATGGGAACTAAAAGCCTGTGTAGCCCAAAATGTCCAGGCAGCACTTCTAATGAGTAAACTCAGTCACTTTCAGGTGCACCCATTGTTGACACATGCAAACACCATGCCTGATGCCAATTATCAGCTATTGAGGTTTAAAGCCCCCAAGAATTGTGCTGTGGAGCAGTGGAGCTGCATTCTATGGAGTGATGGAACTCCATTCAATACCTTTGGGGTGAGTTGGAGTGTCCAGAACTGACCATCCAACATCAGCACCTGACCTCACTAATGCTCAATCAAATCATCACAGCAACGTTCAACATCTTGTGTAAAGCCTGTCCAGAAAAGTAGAGGCTATTACTGCAGCAAAGCCCCCTTGGGTTCAGAAGAAGGGTATATAGTGTATGTTTTTATTTTTGAGGATGGTCATGTCCTTATCTGTGAAAATGTGTCCAGTTACAGTGCTTGCGTCCAACACTACTGGCATTATCTGCTGTTCTTTACGCACTGCCTGCAGCCCAGGCTTGGCTGTAGCTTCCTGCGTCTGAAAGCAGATGATTATGGTTAAGTAATAATCTCAGAGGTGTCCTTCACAGAGCCCTTGGATTATGATGGCACGGATATAAACTGTTTTTTTTTTTTTTGGATTATTATCATGCAGAAGCAGATGGTGTTTCGCAGATGATGGAAATAAAGTCTGCGTCTCGTCTTTGATCTGCTGTTTCTCCTTGTTCCATTTCTCTTATTGTGAGCCATGATGCTGGTCTTCATTCTGACAACTCATTAATATGCTCTGGTGGAAGGTGCATATATTTACTGTTATTTAGATGAGGCCTGTATCTAAGTGGCATATATCACTATGGATACTCATAGGCCTTGTTAGTATTTGTATTCTGAGCAGTGATGGCAATGCTGTGCACAGTTCTGGAAGAGTTTTATTGTTGCTGATTGTGAATGCACCCTCAGGAGGAGCTGTGTGAGTTATCTGAGCTGTCGTTAACACAAAGGCAGGATGAGGAACTGAGGAAACACTCTACATCTCACGCACTCACACCTGCTGAGGCTCAGCTGCCTGTTACATCTCTATTCCCAAAGCCCTCTAGCCTTTCACCTTTATCCCGCAGCTATCACTGTACTGCACTCTGACTCACAATGTCTTTCTTTCTTTCTTTCGCTGCTAAAACACTGAAAACAGTGTACTGAATTGTATCGGGTGTAATGTGTATATTGCTGTGGTGAACAGTGCACTGTATACAGTTTGACAGTAAAGTTTCAGTAAATTAACAGCATATTAATAGTAAATAACAGTAAAATAACAAATCATACTGTAACTTAGCCACCTGGAACACGATATCACTGTTATTAAAGTTTTATAGCACATAAGTCTCTTCTCAAGACCTTAAACTAGTGGTCTTGGTCTGGTGTCAGTCTCAACCTTATTTGGACTCAGGAACAAAAACCCATATTGGCTGTGCCAATAAACAATAACATCAGTGCTGTTTCAGTGTTCTAACAACCTAAAAAAGGACAATTAAAAATCCAACACTTATAAAAACCTTTAAAACACCAAAACCTGAATTGTCACTTTAATTGCTTAAATTAAAATATGAATGCATTTTTAATGCTTTTTAACTGTTGAATGACAGCAGAGTGTAATTTGCTATGTTACTGCAGAAAATATCTTAAGGTTAGTTGATTTTACAATAAAATGATAAAGTATTTAACTGTGGAAATATTGTAGATTCCTGATGATTATTAAGAGTGTGACTATTACAGCTAGGCCTTCAGTTCGAGCTACAAATGTCAAAACTCCTCTACGAAAATGTTAGCGCCCCTATGAGACTGTAGTAGGATGTTCGGATAAGCTAACAGCAATTCACATTTTAAATGAAATGTTTTTTTAGCCACTCTAGATACTTATTAGAGTTGAGAAAATTTAAAGCGTCCATTTTCTACATTATTCTTGTATTTTATCTTTTTTCCTTTAGGTCCACTTATAAAGTTTGCATAGCTGTGTGTGCCCTATTCATTCGACAGACCCTCTCTTAATCACTTAGAATTAAACAGGGTGTTTTTGAAAAAAGTCGTACTCTTTTGAGAAAAAAGTCGTACTATTTCGAGAAAAAAGTCATAATATTTTGAGAAAAAAAGTTGTGCTATTTTGAGAAAAAAAGGAGTAGAATTACAACATTTAAAGTGGCATTAATACCAGGAAAGGTCACGATATTGTGGCCAAAGGCTTTGCAAAGAGAAGGCAGCACCTCCTCGTGTTAAAATGAGGGGCGTTGAGGAGTTGGTGGAGTTATACTTTCATATCGATTTCACCCATAAAGAAATACTCAGTCTCCCTGTCTCTTCTGCACATCAGTACCAGACTGTTAGTAAAAGAAACAGCTGAAACAGCTCTGCAGGAAATAACAGATGGATTTGGAAGAAACTGTCTGTCTGTTTTGTTGAAGGAGAATCGCAGGCAGGGTCGTCTACACGGCTATCAGTGGCTACATCTCTGTGCCATTCAAAGACAATGAGGATGATGATCAAAATGATCGATCCATAAGCAGACAGGAGTGTGTGGAACTCCGCCGTGCCAGTACAGCAACCGATACCCCAACGCGTTACGGCTGCCCTCAGTTAGCCTACTTTATCCTCCAAATATTACTTTTATTATCTAAATATTATGACTTTATTCTCGAAATCTACTATTTTTATTTTTATTAACAGTGGCCCCAAAACGCCGTCATATTCAAGAGTTTTTAGTAAAGGCAATAGTTATATATTGGACCATGACAACTCAAAGAACCATCTGAATGCATGTTTTTGCCTGGTTGTATAACCTGTTGTAGATGGTTCTTTAAAGGGTTCCACTATTGTTAGTCATGTAATCCTTGTTTGGTACTATATAGAAGCTAAGAGTGTAGAATAGATTGCATTGTCACTTTCTTTATGTCTTTCTGTGCTATACTGAGCTTTGACCTGTCTTCTCTTCCTTCTTCTCCTTCTTCTTCTTGGTCTCTCTATCTCTCCCCCTCTCTTTTCCAGGATCTTTGTGGTGGGGATTGGTTTCTTCAGTCTGTGTTTTTTAATGACATCCCTGGGCGGCCAGTTTTCAGCCAAGCGGCTCACCGACTCTCCGTTCACCGTCCGGACAGAAGGTAGGTCTAATCACGGGTATCAAAACTTTTTCTGACGCACTGAGTGTCCCCTCAGACTCAGACTGAAGCCCTGATGGCTCTGATTGTAATGCAGTCCAGCCCAGTGTGGCCTCCTGGCCTTGTTAGTGAAAAGTTAGCCATGTGTTTTTTTGTCATGGTTGAAAAAGCTTCTGCCCGACGGAGGTGGATCCAGGGTTTAACCCTTAGAAGTCTGGAGTTATTGTTGGTACTAATACAAAAAGTGATTTTATAGGAATTATTTCTGACTCATAGCTCATTAAAACAATCTGAGAAATCATGTGGAAAGTGTAGATTCTAAACTTTCAATTCATACCACATTGGTGCTTGTAAGTAAAAGAGGAGATATTTTAAGAAAACAATAAGCCATAAGAGGCTGTGCGTTACTGCAATTTTATCACAGGGAAGGGTGTTCTTAGGCATGACGTGATGCATGGTGGCCAACACATGATATGATAAAATGCATAATTTTTCAGAAAATAACTTATTATTAATAACAAGCAACATTAAAAAGTATTCTGTCAAGAAATGTTGTTCCTTTAGACTACTGTATTGTTGCCAAGCAACCATGGACCACTGAATGAGGAGAACATTTGGTCACGCATTGCTGTATATTGCGGTCATTTCATGACTTTTTATGCTTTTCGTCATATACCAATGAACATATGATAACACAGCAGTTTATAAGTACTTTTTGCTTTATAGTTTTTTTTGATCACCAAATTACCACCGCAAATCTTATTTAGCACCAACCCAGCAGCACCCCTCTTCTCACACTGGGGCTGAATCTCAAATGGCTCCTGCTCCCTACATAGTGCACTACATAGGAATTTAAATACTAGATCCTGAACCCCAATGGTGCAAAATGCAACTAAGAAACAATCATTTGCCACATCCACACTCAATAAATGTTGCAATATTTGTAGAGGCTGGAATTTCTAAACTTTTATAGCTAGCACACTATTTAGGGAGTACAGAGCCATTTGGGATTCAGCCTGGCTGATCTGTTAGCTGATCAGCCTAGTTCTAGTTAAGAACATAAGTTGCCAGCACCTCAGTTGAAACAAAAAATGGGTTCTTACTTCATTAGTACATTTGGTGGTCCATGTGAGCGGCAATAGAGTCAAAGATTAATCCATTAACAGCACAAGGGTTTTTCGTGCCATGGTGCAGTGATAAATAATTCAGTTGTTATGAGGCGGTGTGCAGAAGATAGGTGTGAGATAGGTCTGCAGAAATCGTGGATTATACAAAGGCTTCGAATGCACCTCAGCCATCAGATGTTTTGACCAGAACTATCCATTTTATAATATGATTTGAATTTGATGAAGAATTGTTGTGTGGTCTTTTTTTGTGGCACAACATCCTTTACATTTTTTACATTAAACCAAATGGAAAATCCAATGTATGGACTCAAATCTGTCCATAGAGAATGTATTTTGAAGGTAAATGTTATTCCTGTGTAATTATGTTGTAATTACATCTAATTATGTCTAACTAGTATGGAAAAGTGACAATAATAATGCTAGACTTCTAGGGGTTAAAGACAGCTCTCTCTCTCTCTGACTCTCTCTCTCTCTCTCTCTCTCTCTCTCTCTCTCTCTCTCTCTCTCTCTCTCTGTCTGTCTCCCTCCCTCTGGGTTTATAATGAGGAAAAGACTCCCTGGAGACTCCATTCAAGGATGGAGAATGCATAAATAGTTCAGCCCCTGGGCATCCACTGCCTTTGTGTGCTGGTTGGAGAACTTGGCTGAGACTCAGGAGGTTGTGGGTTCAATCCCAGCTGATTGCTGCTGCCACTGTAGCCTGGGGCAGTTTCCTCCAGGTGGTGCATCCTACAGTTGGTTAGTTTAAGCTGCTTTGGGCAAAAAGCATCAGCTAAATGACAAGTGTCTGTGTGTAGTGACTGAATATAATAAGCTCCATAAGTGCTGGTTTGAGATCCTCTTCTATTACTGTATAGTTCTCTAGCACTTGGTGGATTTGTGACAGTTTATATATTGTACACTATATGGCCAAAAGCATGTGAGTAAGGCATATGAAATCAGGCACATAGCCATACAATCTCCATAGACACACACTGGCAATAGACTGGGTTGTACTGAAGACCTGAGTGACTTTAAAAGTAACACTGTCGTAGAACGCTGCCTTTGACACAAGACAGTTTATGAAATTTCTCCCCTGCTAGATCTGCTCCGGTCAACTGTAAGTGCTGTTATTGTGAAATGAAAGCATCTAGGAGCAACAACTGCCAAACCACAAAGCAGTAGACCATGCAAACTCACAGAGCGGGGAAGCATGAAGCATGTAGCATGTATAAAGGCCTATCCTCTGCTGTACTACTCACAGCAGAGTTCCAAACTGTCTCTGGAGGCAACATCTTGCACAAAGTGGGCTCCATAAAGATATGTTTGATGACTTTGGTGTGGAGGAGCTCCAGTGACCTGCACAGAGCCCTGACCTCAACCCTGAACACCTTTGGGATTGAACTGGAACATCAATTGTGAGCCAGACCTTCTCAGTGCCTGACCTCACAAATGATGTTTTGATTGAATGGGCACAAATTCCCACAGACACACTCCAAAATCTTATAGAAAGCTTCCCAGAAGAGTCGAAACTGTTATAGCTGCAAAAGGGGATGATTCCATATTAATGCCTATTGTTTTAGAATGGGACGTCCAACAAGGTCACATAGGTATGATGGTCAGGTGTCCACATACTTTTGGCCATGTAGTGTATGTGTGATGACTTGTTCTTAATGATGATGACAATGATGTGTATAAAATCTCCAACAACATTGCTGCGCCTGGTACAATCATACCAGCTGAACAAACACTACCATGTTAGAGTCACTGTTGTGACCCACCACTTACAGAATATCTGGGAAGTGATAGTCCCATGGTGGTCCATTTCTATTGATGGATGGGGCAGAGGGAGCTTCAATAGTCTGTAATAGTGAAGCATCCTTAACCCCTTAGAATCTCAGGCCAAAAACCAACAGATTACAGTGTGGAGACTACAGTATGAGCTACAAATTTCAGTGTACTCGACAGCAAAGAACAGTTGATCGTCCAAAATTCTATTATTTTCTAGTTTGATTTTTCACGTTGGCTGTCGTTTGTGAATGTTTCATCATTTCCAAAACTGAGGCCACAGAGGGCGCCGGCATGCTTATAGGGACTGTCTGCTTCAGTTGTTTTGCTGTATTTAACACATTGAACAGAATGTTGTGTTTTCAATTGGTATCAAACCTGTAGTGGAGAAGTTTATAGGTGTTGTACACCCTCCTGAAAGTCAGCATGAACAGAGATAATAAATTGCTAATAAATTGTTCCAAATGGCTGATATTTTTACTGTTGATCTCCTGCTGCTCAAATTGGTTGAACAGATCTGTGGCCAAGAGTGTTTTTAATCACTGATTTTCATTTGCTTTGCCATTGAAATAATTTGTAAAGTCTTTGATTTGACACTTTGTTAGATTGATTTAAGGGGGACATATTATGCTCATTTTCAGTGTTCATAAGTTTTTTTTTTTGGTGTCAACTAGAATAGATTTACATGCTTTACTGTTCCAAAAACACATTCTTCTCAAACTGTACATATCTATTCACCCTCTTTCTGAAGTGCTTTGTCTCCCCCTACCCCCGAAGAGCCAAGTGTGCTGAGGTTGATCAGCTCACCCACTCTGTTCTAATTAGGCAACCACCAGAGCCATTCTGCTCCTACATGTTCCACCCCTGTCTTGCAGTCTGCTCTCCTGAGCAGCTGTAAACTCAGCTGTGACTACTTGTCCAATGATGTCGGTTCTGCCATCTCAATTTGAGCCAGAATCTAAACCTGCAAGTCGAGTCAGCGTCCTCTCGACACGGCAACAACACCGAACAAACTCTTCTCGGCCGCCTGTACATGTTGTCCACTGTATGTGGGCATGTCAAGCTGGTTGGCAGACAGACAATAAGTGTTATGTAATGGAAAAGGTAAAAAACTGAAAAGCACAGTAGGTTCTCTTTAATCTTTGTTTTTTATATTTTTCATAAAAAATTTAGGCTGTTTTTCTCTTTCAGCTAAATTTATTTGGAGGCCAAAATTTTGGTTCATCTCTAGTTTGTAATCGTAGACCTACAAAGTGCACTTATATAGTAGTTGTTTCCAAAAAAATGGTCTGTAAGTTCAATATAGGTGTGCTTAATTACTTGCAACTTAGTAGATACCTCTACCTTATGTGTTGTCTGTCCTACAGTAGCCTGTTTTCTGAGTTTTGACTTTAAAAAGAACCACTGATATTTGTTTGTCTTACAGGCTAAAAATATATTGACTTTAATTACAGTTGAATTTTACATAAGAGGTAAAAATTGCGAATAAGCTTCATTAATTCTGGTTAATTGATACTGTTCTTTTACTGTGTTTTTGTGTCTCCTGTTAAATCTGCTCTTTCTGTGAGTGGTTCAATACAGCTTCCATATCCTCATACTCTGGTGTAGACCTCAGATAACACTCAGGTATATAATATTGATCCTGGGCTTCGAGCTGAACTGTATATTGGACTGAAGATGTGGAAGTGTTTGGCCAATAGACAATCCATGAAAGAAAAATGTGGCAATGAAGAAAGCATGGACCTTTGTCTGCATGATCATTGCACCTTTTCAACTCATATTTTTGAATGAAGCCCGGACAGCAATTGTTACGTCAACACAAAATGCAATCAATGTTGATATATATATTTTATTTTGTAAGACAAACAAACCCCAGTGGTTAAACTATTTTCAGAACACTCTAACAAAAATCAGGTAAAATATACGCATGTGAGATGGTATCAATTTCATAATTCAATATACAGTATTTTCTTCTCAGGCCTGTTTGGAAACTATTGCATTTAAACAGAATCAGTGTCTCGCAGCGTCCTGCATAAACACAGTCTTCATCATAAACCTTTAATGATACCTCCTGGGAAATGTGCATCAGACAACAGGAAGATGCCTCCT